GTTGCTAGGTCCGACAATAAGCCAAACATAATTTCAGTAATGAATCCTCTGAGTTCGTGCGCGCGTAGGGTAGAGGAGCCAATTATTGTGCCCTGGTGGCGGACCTCGGGAGTTATCGCTACTAAAAACAACCTTAACAATTTCATTGACACATTCCTTAAGAATCTAAAGGTAAATTATATATGAATTAGATAATTAGATATAAATTTTCCCACATAAAATACAACAGAACATAAAATTTTCTTTGAATAGTAGGAGTTACTGTGTTACCAGTTACTGTGTGCCTGTGATCTACAAAAATCAGTTACTGTGCTCCCTCTCTGATCACTGTGCTCCCTCCCTGTATACTGTGCTCCAGTTACTGTGCTCCCTTCCTGAATACTGAGCCTAAATAACTGTGCACAAAAAGTGGATTTATCTTTATGATATTTTACAAACTTCCGTCCTTTACATGTTCAATTAACAAACAAAAGAATTTAATACGTCTTAATCAATAAATATAGTTAATTATACATGAGAATAAACTAAAGGCACCGTAATTGGTTACTCTGGCAGTGACTAGCTCCACTGCCCCAGCGAAATCGCGATTCTTGCCGTTTTTTCGGCTCGTAAACGTTTGGGAAGCTGATCCTCGGCGCGCTGTCAACTTGTAATCGGAATTCAGAATGTGAAGGAGCGTTTAAACGGAGCCTCTTAAATCATTCTCTTTTCTCTCGCCGCGTCGCGTCGACTTCGGCGACCCCAGGCGAAACCGCTTTGAATGCAAAGTAACGGTGGCAAATCGAGAATACGGCAAACAAGGGAACCGAGTTACGCGACTTCCGTCGCGACGCGACGCCCACGCCGACGTTTCGCGTCGGCCTTGGATTTTAAATGAGCGGCCGCAGCTCAGCTCGAGTATTGACACACCTCGCTCGTTACGAGATACCGTGAAACGATGAAGCGACAAATATTATGATAGGAGGCGAGACGATGTCAAATCTGTTCTCCGCGGCCGGCGCCCGAATCCTTTCGGAATGATCCGCTCGCGCGGCGTTTCCGCCGTTTTCGCCGGAAACTGTATCACATACGCCACAGGTTTTTCCGAGCCGCCTTTCTCGCACCCAAGGACGCGATCATTCCTGCTTTCCATTTTAACCCCTTAAGTGACTGGACCGTGACAGTCGCGTGCATAACGCACGCACATTGTCTACGACATTTCTGGAAAAATCGTGTCGTGTCCTAAACAAGTAGTAATTCGTACGCAATTTTGCTCGATCTGCTTCGTCACTGTTTGCCGGCAAGGTTCTAATTAGCATCGACACTGTAGTCCATAATCTTAAAAATTATGCAGTGAGTAAAGAATATTTTTGGACACCTTTTAAACGCGGTATAACTTTTTTCATACTGGGCAAAGTGACTTGAGTATTTTGAACGGTAATTAAAATATTTCTTTTTTAATTCTGCCATTATTTGGAATGACAAAAGGCTCTCAATCTTTAACGAAAATTTAAGAAATGCGTTTTGCATAAATTTTACATTTTCCGTTGAAAATTGTATCGAATTCGTTTGACGTTGTTACGAGTTACGAACGGTTAAAGATAGCGAAAATTGCGGTATTTCAGAAAAAATTTGAAAACAAATGCCAAGAAATACAAAAAGAAAGCGTGTTCTATGGTGGAAGACTCACTTAACCCCTTGCACTGCGTTTTCTTTCGAAAGTGCGATGATTAACACTTCTTCGTTCTCGGTAACTTCCCTGATAGGAGAAAAGAATTTTTGTTTCTTGTGTGTCTTCGTTTACTTCCAGTCCTCAATTTTGATAACGCAAGCGTCGAATTCTGTTTCGACTTAGAAAATCTTGACGACATTCATATTTAACCGACTGCAATCGTCGACGCAAGGGGTTGAAAGCTTCGATGATCTTCAAGGAAATTTAACTTGAACAAACGCTCGCGGGCTTTGCATGAAATGCGGCTTTAAAGAACACTAAGATCCAGTGCGGATTTCATTTGAAATCTCAAGGCGACACTGAAATTGTAATACGAATGATTCTCGCTCGCCGAAGTCCCTTCCAATTTAATCGCTATTAAATTACAGCCTTCGCATTGGAAACGCCAGCGTATCCTGACCTCCATTAGTGTCTTAGTTCTTGTGTACCCGAGCTTGCTTGCCGAGATTTAAACAGAAAATCCGGAAAATCAGCCCGCGAAGATGCAGAGCAGAGGGTTTAACAATTTTCCGGAATTATTCACGCTGGAAGCAACGTTCTTTCGCGAGGGTGGAGGCCATTAGCCAACGTCGCGACTTAGTTAAATTCAGTGGAAGGCAAACGTTTGTTAAGTCGTAAACTTAATTCGATTATACTAATAGTCCCGCGGACTTGGTTTGCAAAGTGGCGGAGAGTAACGCGCCGGAGTTTGTTCGAGCGTCCCGGACATAATCGGAATTTAATATAGTTTTCAACGAATGCCGTATTAGCCGTCGTGTACATCCAATATTCCATTTGCCGCCAGAGTATAAATATTGTTATTCGACTATCTTGTTTCTCTGACAATTGATTGATGCTCGCATGAAAAAATTATACATATAAAAATCATATAAAGATTATACAGAAATTATATAAAAATTATATAAATATGATACAAAAATTCTGTAAAAATTCTGTAAAAGCACACCGAGTTATATTTTTGTAAATAAAGGTCGAGCGTTAATAGACCGCAGACTTGTCTGCGGATGCAAGATTTCCTTCTGCTTTCAACCTCGATGAAGAGACATCCCAGTTAGCCAAACAAATTTCCCTGTCATCCTGGTTTGCGTAAGGTGACCTATGGAAATTGAAATTTCCATAAAGACCCGCAGTCTATTTGTGCAGATAGCAGACCGCTAAAAGTGTCACTGCGGCACGAATAGACGCATTCAACGAAATTTTGTCGTTATTTGTCGGGTGTTCTAGAGCAGCCGGAATTACTGCAGTCGGAACAGCTTCGAACGCAGAGGACGAATCTTCAAAGGCAATTAAAGTTATAAAAACTGTCACAATCGTGTTTCCTGCTCATTTTCAACGGGACGCGCAATTTAATGCTCTCCAAACGACTTTCAAGTAAAGCGTCGAAATTAAGTAATACACAATTGTAACCATAATTAAAAAGTTCTCGGTCGAGTTTAAAAAACCGCTGTCATTATTCAGAAGCAAATATGAAATAATGCTGCAACTAATATCGCGTTTACGACAGGAGAATTTAAGAACTCGGTGGTATAGTCGAAATTTAGTAAAAAATATGCTAAAAAAACACGTTTCCACGCAGCTCTTATTTTCATGAACTGCAATAAACATTTTGCAATAGTTCTCCTTTTTATACCGCTCTCGTTTTTTAGGGACGACCCGACCTCGAGGGTGAAAAATTCGTCTGACAACCCTTTTAAAATTAGATTTTAATTTTCCACGAAGATCCGCAGTCCAGCTGCGGCACCAAAATCGGCGGACGCTAACGAGAGCGTAAATCGTCGTAGTTTTTGCATATTGCCGATATAGAGTCGCTATCCAATATTGCAATAGTGTAAGCCACTAGCCTACGGAGTGGATCCACGTGCAGGCTAATTCGATTGTGGACCCGGATCGTCTAGAACGGTATTATGGGGCTCGACTAGGACCGTGCGCGGCCGTCAGAATCTCGTTAGGTCGGTCATCTCCCTATAGGGAATTGTTATCGAGCTATCCATCGGTTGGCTGTTCTGAAATTTTGCGCCACGAAATGAACGACAGATGCAATTACGACTGCCGTTGAAGAAGAATGCTGTCCCCCGTCATGATCTCCGCGATCCGCGGGCAAATCGATTCGGACAGAGGAACGCAATACGTCACGCGAAGTTTACTAGCGGCGCACAGCCGCGCACCCCTCTCGATAGCGTAGCGTCGTAATGAAATTACGGATTTTCATGCAAATATAAATTCCGACGAGTCCGGCCCGGAAAACGTGAGATTAAATGCAAATCTCGATACATCTACCGTGTATACAAATGTTCCAGATTAGGGGGATGGGCGGATTAAAATATTTGTTCGTGCCATTGTGCGCCCGAGTCAACGAAAATGGACGACAAATAATATTTATCGATTTTTCGAATTTTCACCGTGGATTACGGAATTAGCCTGCTGATACGGCGAATGGAATTTCGTTAAGGTATTGTTACACTTCAGATTCGATTTAATCGATTTCGAGAATTTTCGAGAATCTTAGTTCGTTCGAATGTTAACGTTGATCCGAAAGTATTTTCATATATTTTGCACACGTTTTCACGTGTTTTCATATATTTTACGGTTCAGAGGAAATCTTCATTTCATTGCGTCAATAGTTTCATACAATGTGGAGTTTGCTGAATTTATTCGGGAATACGTTTCAGTGCATTTATCGGTATATATTTATTTTTATCTCAAACATATTATTTCGAAAATTATCCTTTCGCAGCTAGCAAAATTAGGAACGATTCATGGACGAATTCATGTTGAAACGACTTGAAAAATGAATTCTTTCGAAATTTGCACCTTCTGTGAAACCACTTCAGTTCAAGCAAATTATCTTCGATAGGGGCAAGAATTTTTCATGAAACTCTCTTTAAACCTGTTCGAAGACCCCAAGAATAATCTAAGTTTCGGCAATTAAGCTGAAGATTGAACTCTTCAATCTTTTTGATACAGCTGTTAACGTTATTCTATTTTATTTTCAAGCGTGTTCAACGTGTCCCTGTAGTCTCAAGCAAGTTTCTCTAGAAAAACCACCCCGAAATTTTTGGAAATAATTTCTGGAACTGTGTCTAGCTTCCATTGTTATGATGAAATATTTGCTACGACGATCAGGAACGTGGCACCAGCGATCAATATTTCCGAATGAATAAAATAAAGGTTTCTATCTCCGGCGACGACCAACTTGATAATATTATTACATCGAGAGAGGTATAGGAGCGGTGGCTTCCGGGAAATCCGATTCCCCCCTTAAATTGGTTACAGGGATTAAACTACTTACCGATACAAGTTCCATCAGGGGTGGCCTCGTAGCCCGGTAGACAGGTGATCGACAAGCTGTCTAGTATCGGTTGATCTTTCAGCTCCATTGGTTGGGCGCACCGATAAGATCCTGCAGTGTTGATGCAACCGTAGCGACACATTTCCGCTTGCAAATCAGGTTGAGCACACTCGTCCACGTCTGGAAAAGAAGCGCAGAACATCCTGTGTTTCCCTTCGCATCGGCCAAATCGGCGACTTCAAACCGATGTAACTTTGATACCCGAGTTTCGCGTTATTCGGATTGCTTCGAATAAATATATTTGTTTAGGGTAATTGTCCCAATGAATTCCTTGTAGTCGAATATTTTATTCGTGATAAATTATTCTATCCATTTATTCGAATGATTCTTTAGTCGAATGATCTTTAATTGAATGATCTTTAGTCGAGTAATTCTTTATTCGAATAATTCGAAAAGTTCTTTATTCGAGTAATTTTTTATTCGAATAATTCTTTATTCAAATAATTCAAGAAGTTCTTTATTCGAGTAATTCTTTATTCGAGTAATTCTTTATTCGAGTAATTCTTTATTCGAGTAATTTTGTATTCGAGTAATTCTTTATTTGAGTAATTCTTTATTCGAATAATTCTTTACTCAAATAATTCAAGACGTTCTTTATTCAAGAAATTCTTTATTCGAGTAATTCTTTATTCGAGTAATTCTTCATTCGAATAATTCTTCATTCAAATAATACGAAAAGTTCTTTATTCGAATAATTCGAGAAATTCTTTATGATAGCAGTATAGAGCAGTATTTTA